TCCTTATAATAGTGGAGAAAATCTTTCCTGATTCATTTTTAAACCTAAATTTAAAATCTAAATATCTCCCTCTAGGCAAGCCAACAGCCGCTAATATTTTAACCTTATTAGTTTGGCGGTGAGGGCTTTCTATTGATGCAAAAATATCTGGTAAATTCAACTTACAGTGCAAACACCTCCATTGTAAGTAGACTGATGCATCGTTGTCTTACGAAAATCCATGACATAAAGGTGACATGAATTTATTTAAGCTTATAACATAGGGTTCTGATTGCCAGATGAATCGCAGAACACTAGTTATCGTTTAGATTTTATTGATGACCAGCAACTTTTGAACAGTAGATCTTCTGGTTCGACCTCAGCTGTCAGTCTATGAAAAGTATCTAACTCTGTATCATAAGATGAAAAATCAAATTGGCTTCTGCAGTCTTGCAGAAGTAAACTTCAGTGAACTGTAGGAACCAACGAGCCACACAAGTTCATTGGTGAGATATGCGGTTAAACTGATTGACTTTTTTGATTTCTTAAAATAATTCAGCCAAGACAAAACTTATTCTGCAGCTATTTTTTCAACAAACACATGTACTACAGATTTTTACGTTCGAGAGTGATGAAGAGAGTTCACCAGATGGAAGAATTTAGGCTTCATATAGAAACTAGAATCAGGAATGTGCTACAGAGCTTTTTTGTTTCGAATTTCAAAACTGCACAAACTATGATGTAACGATACAACTTCGACAATGTCGCAAAGTATCTTCTGATCGTCTCACATGTAGGAAAGTTGGCAAGACGAGATTATAATTTATCGACCATTTTACCATTTATCTTTTACATCTGTTATCGATGCTACTTGCAGAAGAATGAAAAAAAGTGAGAAACAGTAGATTTTAAAAGAGTGCAGAAGCCAAGATTTTTAGAAGTTCTGAAGTGGCTTAAAGCCTTCACAAAATATCATCAAACTTTGCAGGGCTTCAAAAGTTGGCAAACTCTTAAAAGTTACATGAAGCTACTCTGACATCTTTACCGTTAGTTTCTATAGGTGGATAACTACGGTGAATTATCATTTAAATCAATTCAGCTTATTATTTCTCCTGTTCAAATTAGTATCACCAAAGTCCTAACCACATGCAAAATACGATGCGAAGTCAGTAGTTCTAATTCTAGAGCAAAAAAATTTGAATTAGTAGTAATTCATTCATAAGTCACTACTATTTTGAATCCTGTGGAGCTGACCATTATTGTTCTGGATGGAGGAAACATTAATACAGCGACATAAGTATTAGATCATCTAGTGAGTAATCTGTGTTTCACATAAACCATAGCAGCACGAGTAGCATCGAACTTTATTCAATCCTTCAACCGTTCCAAATCATGTTGTTCAGTGTTTTTTACTTCTAATGCTTGCATTCACGTATCCAACGTGATAAGTTTCAGAATAGAACTTGAATGTAGAAACAGAGCTCTTTTTATAAAGTGATTAAAAAAATAAGTCATGTGGTCCGTCTCATGCTAGTGCATGTATTAGTACGATTGTGAGTGTAGATGTAGATCAACGTTTCTATAATCTTGCCTCTAAAACCTTATTCTAGTCTCAAAAACATTACTTTTAATGCGTAGATGAGAGCATTAAAAGTAAAAAGACACCCTTAACGGCATAATTTGAAATAGTTGGAGGATTGAATAAAGTTCGACGCTGCTCGTGTTGCAATGGCTTATGTGAAACATAGATTGCTCACTATATGGTCAAATACTTAGGTCGACGCATTAATGTTCACTCTATTCAGAACAATAATGATCAGTTTCACAATATGATTATTAGCAGCCATTAATGAATCAATTACTACTATTACTACTAATTCATGTTTTTTGCGATATAACTAGGAGCAATGACTGTGACTGGTGATGTTTTATCACGAGGAGATCATTTTATTCGATGTATTTTGAGATACATTCCTTCATTCCACTTTTCGTTTAACCCTTGAGAATGCCAATAAGGAAGTAGATAAGGTATATATTCTTATCTTATGAGAAAATTTTTCTGAATTTAGTATTGCTCGCGCTAATTTATTGCGATGGAAGAAAAATATCATTTGACCTTCATAATTCAAGGAAAACTTCGAGTCTCTGAAAAAATCTTCAAGGAAGAAATCAGACAACTAGGCAATACAAAGACTAGAAATTCGAAACTCGAGAATTCCGAGTGTTAGAGCAAAGTTCAGGCAATCCAATACGTATAAAGTCTGTTTTCTTTCCCTTCCGATTACAGTGCATTGAAAATTTCATTCAAGCTCGCAGTGCCACGAAGGACAAGAAAAAGACTTCATTCAAACAGTCAATTTCCAAATTATCTCGTAATCGTTTCGTGTATGATAATTTAAGAAAGGCTATTCATCACAGTTATGATCTGGTTTAACACCTTCTTTTGAACTTTGATGTTTAGTTTGCCGAGAAGAAAATGAGGGGATCAGCAATAACACTAAGTGAATCATTTGTGCAAGTCTGACTTGAGAAAACTCCGTGTTATTTCATATGACGAAAGCCATTACAATTTATTGGATCAAGAGTCAAGCTAATACGTAAACTCTTATGTTGCTTTTTTCATTGAAATCAGACAAATATAGCTGATCGTAGGACATAATTTATGACTTTTCTTCTTTGTCAGTTAGCGAAAAATCTTAACTTCAGCTCATAAGAGTCTCGAAGAGACCTTCTCTTTCACTCTGAAACTCTCTTCTCTGATTTCGAAAATGATATCAAAAACAATATAGTCATATGTTGAAAACCTCTTGTTTTATGTCAGAAAGTATGAATGCGTTGCTATCTAATCGACTCAGGCATATTCTGCCATCAGATTACTAAATGAATAAACAGTTACAGATGAGATGTTGTAGATTCACTAGATACGGTGTATCTCTTCTATTACTTATTGATTTGTCTAATGTGTTGTTGCTCTTAGTTATTCTGCCTGATGCATTTTGTGAGAAAAATATGAAATTAACCAGCTGCATTTTAAAAATCGACTTTATACTCATCTCATTACTAAATGTCTAGAACTTTTAAGATAAACAATATTTTGCCCCAATAGCTTTATACAGCTTTTTAAACTGTATTATAGAGCAATGAAGCCCTGACTCTGACTCCTATGAGACTTTTAGAACTATAATTAAGATCCTAGAGATCCAATATGAATTTCAGAAATGCAAATCATTATAATAAATATTCCGTCAATCCCATGAAAACCCGGAAATCCGAAATCCGCCGTTTCCCCCTTGAAAAATCCATTCAAATAGTTCTGAATACATAATAATATGTAGATCATATTAAAAAAACATTTGTAGATAAAATTTTTAAAAAATTGAATAAAATTTTTATTTTACTAATTATGTATCTTGGTTACCATAGTTATTCAAAAGAGAATAACATGTAGGAAAACAATTTTCTGCTCCGTCATTAATATGTTCAAGTGCTGATAAAGCACATCGAGACATAGCGAGAATCCAATATTTTTAATTTACTTTACTGTATTGCATTTTCGGTTCAAAGGCGAAGTTATCGAATTTCATTGAAATGAGTAGATTAATCTTCTATTTTGTGTATTAGAAGTTATCTAAGTGTTCAGTATGAATAAATGTTTATAGATTATAATAAAATANTACCTTGACCATTTCCACCCACAATGACGGTGCCCATACTCGCTCCCTGAGGCCAACGCATCACTCGATTATTGAACATGTCTGCCACATAGATGGTACCCCATGTGTCGACAAACAGTCCGTTTGGAAATGACAATTGTGTCAAAGTCTGCCCTCGGCCTTGACCTCCAGCGACGACAATTCCTTCTTTTGCACCTTTATTCCATTTCATCACACGATGATTGAAACGGTCTGATACGTAGACAGCCTGCTGTCGATCAACAGAGATGTAGGTTGGAACATTGAGTTGATTAAAACCAGAACCTTCGCCATGACCACCGGCGACGACAGTTCCATTTTTGTCCCCTATGTGATATCGTCTTATTTCATGTTTCTCGAAGTCAGAGATGTAGAGGTGTCTCTGATCATCCATGGCCAATCCCCAACATCTAATGTTGTCAATGAGGGTTTCTTCGTGAGTTGTGCTACTATGAAGATACCATCGTACAACTCGTCGATTCTCCGAATCGCAGATAATGAGACTGCACGTCTCTTTATCAATTAACACATCAGTTGGACGATTTAATCGAATTTCTTGATCATTGCCACCAGCTATAACTTCCCCATTCGTACCATTCATCTTCGACCGGATGATACGATTATTATAGCAGTCAGCGATGGCTAATCTTTGATCATCATCAATGAAAAGACCAAAAGGACGGTCTAGTTGATTGGTGCCATTGCCATATCCATGGTTTCCAGCCACGGACACTCCATTCTGTGCCCATCGGGCATTGATTGCAGTGCTCGGAATAACTACAATGAACGATAAAGAATCATCATTCTCGCTGTCAAAATGATTCCCTCTCACATGGGAAAGTGCTATGGATTAGAGCTCCTTCGAGAGAACTTAGTAAAGCTTTCGAGAATTTTCTTCTTTAACACACCTTAATGAAGAAAACCTCTTCTTGTAAACATACATTTACAAGTTCTTTTTGGTTCCCTATAAAAAAAAAGGACTATTCTCATATCTATGTCTTTTCCATATTTTCAGCCCTGTTCATTCTTCGAGAAATCTTAGAAGCGTCTTTGGGAATTCTCTCTCCAATCCTACTTAAGTAATGCCTGCAAAGATTGACTCCACTTCTTGTCAAAATATTTTAGATTCTAAAAAGTAGGACCGCCAAAAGAGGATCCTGTAAGAAGGTGTTCCAGAAATAAGTGTTTTTGAAATACTGAAAAGACCAATGCTAATCCTATCAAAGCTCTCGATCAAAAACATAGGGATATGACGATTTTATTCGTCATTTCGAATGCAAATTTTTTGCAGAACTACTAGAAGCAGTTCTACTAACAAGAGGAATCTACTAACTGGTCAATAATTTTTGAGTTGAGATCACGTTCATTATATGGACTTAAATGAACTATGAATACCCTGCTAAAAATTGGTACCCTTGGCTTGTTGCTACGGAGATACTGCACTTTTACGGTATCTTTTCAATCAATGCCGTGTTTTCCTTCAGGAACACTAGAAAAAACTGATTTTTTGAATTTCCATTTGAAACTTTGCATAGAGACATACCTTAGCAAGAATGATTTATTATTGAAGTTTCAGATTTTATCGTTGTTCTTATCTTAAGATACAACTACGGTAATAGTGTGACTTTTACATGAGTCATAGAAAACAGCGAATGTGATATTCTTATTTCAGAATAGAATGGCTTGTACAAACGTAACAGCGTTACGTTGTTTAGACACTGTTTTCAATTATCCCAGAAATTTTTAGAACTAGAAAGATCGTTTTAACATCATTCGGCGCAATAGATGTGTGGTGTTGCTCTACTCTTAACCTACACCCACCCACAGGTTTTTTTTTATTGAAGTACATAATGATTCATCAGAGATTGTACTCAAATAAAATATTCAAGCCGTCATTGTAATTAGCATTCATTTGAGCCTAAATGGATATAATACAAAATACAAAGAGGAAAGAATAATACTTTCGTTTAGGTTTATTAATTTTAAACTCTCCTAAGTTATTTTTTTTAATTCAATTTTGTATGTGGATTGAGAATGGATTATTTGTCGGTTGTTTAGGAAATAAAAATAATAGACACTAAAGGAATTTTGCAAAGAAAGAAGTGATTTTTGGTTACATATTCGTTCTGATTAATAAATTGAATTTTTAATACAATATATGAATAAGTGAAAAATGCAATTCACTCAAATCTTTGGATGTTCTGAATTATACTTTAAAATAAATAAATTTACCGGCAAAGAAAACAATTTTGTTCTATTTAAGGACGAAAGAAGGCAAAAAAATCGATGGCAATCAAAACTTTAGTTTTTCCTTCCTAGGAATGTCCTGAGTTATCAATTATTCTTGGTGTCTTTGTTAACCTTATCTTTGTATCGTAAAGTAATTATTTCAACAGATTATAGAAGGTAATTCAGTTGAACAAAGAAGAAACTGAATTGCTTCAAATCGAAAGTCGTAATTTTATCTAATTAAGTAGAAGTTTATTAGAGAAAAAGAAAAATCAAACTTCAAAATATGTCGAAACTACTTACAGATTCAGGTTTCTCGATTTCACAAAACCTTTGATACAGCTGTATAAGAAGTATTTTTTATTGGAAAATATAGGTTCGATCACTCATAAAAGAATTATGGATTGGTGACGGTAGCTGACCTCGGCTATTGCTGAATGGATTCTTCTCATGAAATATTCTATTTTACTTTTCACTACATGAAAAACAAAACATGAACGAGTGAGTCATAAAGAAGTTCATTGTTATTGTCTCGAATGTGACTGTTGTATCTTTCAATTGATTAAAACGTCTTTTTTTAATCAAAATATTGCAATTGAAATTCTCTGCAAAGTTTTATATGATTCGTTCCAAAAACTATTTCAGATAATAGAATAGAAAAAAAGTCTAAAATAAAGGCAACTAATTTGTAAATAAAAAAAACAATCAACAACGATAACTCGATCAATTTGTCACAGCCTACTAATCCTCACATCACTTAGCAATCGACTAGACTAAATTTTTTTTAAATTCAAATCGAACCGAATAAAAAAGAAGATTACTTGTAAAAGTTTCATTAAAGAAAATAAAAACTAATAGTTGTTTTTATGTCTGCTATCGTTTATCTTCTTCTAAATGAACTAAACATTTTACAAAGATGAATAAGTTCTCTTTTATCTGCTTGAGTCGATTTTAGTCGCTATTTGCATCCATCGTTAATTTACCTGCACCCGTAGTTGGAGTCAAAATATTCATTGACAATGTTTCCTCTACTATTTTCTGAACTTTATAATTAGCTTTTATTCGAGCGATGAGTTCATCAAAGTCAACTAAAACAGCTTTTACCTATAAAGAAAAAAAAACATAGAATGAAATCGAAGTCATTCAGCCTAATTTTACTTTTCTGAATTGGCAAGTCCATTGTTGGTTACTCTTCTTATCCATGCAATACACATAGATCGATATAACTTGTCGAAGTTTATGAACAGAAGGGACTATTTCTCGTCCTAATCTACCACTTACAATGATGACTAATCGTTCATTTTGTGATCGTTCTTCAATATATTTTTGACATTGTTTTACATCTTGAAACGGCTTGACTTGTTTAATGAAAGAGCGTAATTTTTGTTCTATATCTTGAGTATGTTGGGCGTTTACATTAGCATCGAGCCAGATAAGACGAGAAATTTCAAGATGCTGATCGTCGACATTTGCATGAAAGTTATCCGTTGGTAGAATGGCAGTGGCCATATTAATCTAGAAGACGAAATAGGATACAAGTTTTGAATGTTTTTTTTTATTTAGTTATCGAATGTTTGAGCGTTTTTTGCAATCTAAAACGAATATTCAAACTTCTCTCATTTCTATTATTTTATCTTTTAGTATTTATGATGCTATGCAAAAGGATAGAAGAACGAGATGCTTAAATTCGTCAAAGAAAATGACTTCTCTCTGACTCTCAAGTTTTGTAGATACGACCATCGAACCAATATGTAAAATTTTAGCATGGATTGAAGTTGTTTATACTTTTTTCGTTTAGTCATCTAACAAGATTATCAACTAGACAATATTATCTCTTACTAAACTGGGCAGTGTCAGTTGGTAGTGTGTTCATTTTTAAGTTCATCGGTATGAACCGTAGTCTTGTCTTTTCTCTTCACTAAATTCCTACAGCAAACATAGTTAAGTCTATTAAATCGAGTCGTACATTCAAAAAATACTGTTCCTTATGTGATTATCATCTTCATTGAATTTTTCAAATATACAATAGGTCAGAAAACCTCAATTTGAAAACCTTTGTTAATGTCGAAAAGATCTCACAAAAATACTCATATTTTAGATTGATGCACCAAATCGACAATAAAATATTGTAATGAAATATGTTGTTGTTTTAAAAACTGAGATATACTATTTGGAAGGGAAAGGAAAAACGTTTTTTTCAACGTTGACAACGATCGACATATCTCTTATTGTTCTACTTTAATTCGGCTTTAGACTGTAAATGTTGTTCTTTAATTCTAGATGATCAAAACGAAATAAAAGAGTTTTTTTTATTCAATTTACACATCATTGGACAAGTTTATAACTTTACTGTTTTGCCAGCAATCTCCTTTGAAAAAATTTCTATGAAGAATAGATAAAAAATCCCTGTAGATGTAATTTATTTCTGAGAATTGAAAGAGATATGTCGTCGCGACTCTTCACTATTTCATCATTAAGAGATCAAGGATATTTTGTTTTTTCAAAACTTGATTTCGCTCAAGAGCCTATATCTATCAAACGAAACTATAAATGATTTGATAGCTCTTGTAGATAGAAAGAAAAAGAACAGCTTATACGAGCAAGTCTTTGAAAAAAAAAGCCTTTTATACGCATAAAAATTTCTTAAAACAGTATTTTAACAATTTCTTTAATGCGTTGAATGGAATTCATCTCTTGAGATTAGTTTAATTTCATAATTTTTAGTTGATGTATTTACCAGTCGATTTTTGTCAGAACCATTAAAGGTCTTGGATTTTTGTTTTGACATGAATAAGCGATGAAAACTGTGTAAGATTATATTATCAAAAAGTAATAAAAAATGAGCCTAGAATATTATATATTAGCGTTTAATATTGATGAAAGAGAAAAACTAGCTTAACAATAACACAACGAAAGAGCAACTACACATACGAAGCACTTCGTAGATAAAAACAACGTGCGAACTGAATAGGAACGACTGAAGCGTAACACTCTGTTTGTTTCTCTATTATATCACGTTTCTATTTATCGAAAAATGAATCTGCATGTTGAGTGTTCACATGAAGACAAAATTTGTATGAACCAGCGTTCTAATGATGACTGCCAGAAAAAAAACGCTACTTTTCCGTTATCTTTTGGGATTTCTGGAGAACAATTCCTAAGAAAAATTTGAAGTCTTCAGAAGACGTAGATCTTAATAAGTAGAGCAAAAACTTTCATAGACTCAAAATTCTTGGATACTGTCTTGCATAAGATATTGGAATCACAATGGAGAAAAATGACCCTAATTACTGTATTCGATCGACCTAAAAGCTTTTTTACAAGGTCTAGACGCTGTTTATGAAAGAAATTTTGTTTTAGTTTCTTTTCATTTTTTGTTTTCCGAATAAAAAAAGTTAAAATTTCGGAGGTACTCTAAAAAACGCATGTTTTTTTTTCAATAGAGCTTTTTTTGTAAAAGCTAGTAAAAGTTAACAGAACAAGTTTCTTTTTGAAACAAGAAAAAATTCCCTTCCCAAACAGTGTCTAACATATGTGAAAAAAGTTGGAGCGCCACCAGACGTACTACACGGAAGAAACATGGGTGTTTCTGCAGTTTCTTTTTCATAAAAAAGTTATTTTGAGAGAAATGTGAAACGATGCACACGTTTCACTATTCTTGTTTTGTTAAGAAGGTTAAGATATTTGACATTATTATTAAATTCTCTCCTTTTATTTTATTTTATTTTTAATTTAATTTAATTCAGTTTAATTTGATTTGATATGAATATTTTATTTAAATTTAAAATTTACAAATTATGACGTTTCGTATCTCGATGAGATACTTCATCAGACATCAAATTTAAGACAAATGACATGTACATATAAAAAGATTTTTTCTTTTCTTTGGTATTAGTCATACTTTTTGATAGTGATACGGAAAATGATTCAATTCTTAGCTAGCTATTACTATTACCTTCTTGTTTTCCGTATCACTATCAAAAATTATGACTAATACCAAAGAAAAGAAAGAAATTTTTTCTTATATGTACATGTCATTTGTCTTAAATTTGATGTCTGATGAAGTATCTCATCGAGATATGAAACGTCACAATTTGTAAATTTTAAATTTAAATAAAAAATTCATATCAAATCAAATTAAACTGAATTAAGTTTAAAATAAAATAAAATAAAAGAAGAGAATTTAATAATAATGTCAAAGCTTTACTATTTTCCATATGTAAATTTAATATTTTTTACTCGAATTTTTTAACATTTAAAGACAATTTTTTGGGTGCCAAAATGTACTCAGCAGAGAGATACTACTTAAAACTACAATAATGACAGAAAAAAACAACAATTTTGGGTGAGGAAAAAGAAATTATCTTTAATCGCAACATTTTTTTTTATCTGCGACGGGTTTTTCCAGTTTAAAACTTCACCTAAAAATACTGTTTAACCACGTTTATTAGAGATACGTCTTTTATTACCAATAGATGCCATTTGAACTATTCGAACACGTGAATTAGAGCAAGTTTAACCTGATTGAAAAAAAAGTTCTTGGCTAAGTTTGAAAACCTACAGATAAATTTATGTCGAAATATTAACTCAGTTAAATTTCTTCTCTTCAACAATTCGACATACAGTATCTTTTTTTAATTGTTAACAAAATTTCTAATGACTCATAGTTAGAGTGTTATTTTTATGATATATTTAATTTATTCAAATAGGTTAGATTTGAAAAGAATAAAATATTTCGTATTTTTGTCATAGATCGTCGAGAAATATTAGTTGTTTGATTTCCTGTAACAGCTCGCATATATATATCTATTTATAATTCGTTCAACAAATAATACACTTCAACAATCATAGCTTCTTTCTTTCTTTCTATTCAAATATACTTCGCAAGTAATACAGATAATAGCTATGACTTTTCATATTTATTGTTTCTTATTTTGTCGCTTTTCATAATTTCCCATCTTCTGTTCCTTTAAAAATCAAACTGATGTATTGTAAAAAGTTGTATCTATTTCTCTTTCTAGTTTATCTTTTATATCGTATTAATGAACTTATATAACAATAAACTTGAGCCGAATATAAACAGAAAAATACAGATTATTTTAGTCAAATAAGTTTTTTCCAAAAGATTTGTGTTTTTCTGCTTATTAATTAGAAGACACATTAAGGGGTAAATCTCAGTCGTTCTTTTATGATCTCCTAAAGTAACTGATAGGTGGCACCCACAGAAATAAAAGATGCGCAAGCATGTATTTCGCAGAGATGTTGACTTTTAGAATTAAGGGTATAGCCATAAGAGTACAGACATAAGACTATGGGAGTATGGGTAGAATAAACAGATAGAAGCAGAATATTGCAGGAAAAAAATGCGTTATATACTAATAAAATGCATTGTAAAAAGATCGTTCTCGAACAACTTTTTTTTTTCGATGAACCAAAGGAAAGTTGTACAATTTTTTTGAAATAACATTTTTCACCCTGACAATCGAAAAACAATAAAAGTTCATTATGGAGACATTGAAATACAAAATAAATATTTTGATGAGTGTTATTTGTCTAACCTCTTTTGACAGTGTGTTTTAATTTTTCATGAGTCGTCATCTGTTTAGAATAATATAGTCCATAGAATATCCTGGCTAGGAATAATTTTGACTATTATCTCATCGTCATTCTGAGAAAACAATCGAAGATCGCAAATAGTGATTTGAATGATCCAGCCGTTTATAAATACGTTGAAATGTATTTTTCGTTTTTTCTTCTCAGTTTAATTCTTTTATTCTTGTACTATTTCGGTTAACTATCTCGTTTGTTCTCGTGATTCGCTCAATCAGTCATATATTCACTATATGATAGTGTCACTGATTCGTTTTTCGTAGATTTTTCATTTCTATACAGTGCATAATATGGTATAGTTGATTGATCTGTATGTTCATGCGAGTAACTCGATATATATCAGTGTTTAAATTCTAGTGTTTTCATCGAAACATTTTATTCTGACATAGGTAACCCAGATCTATATGAAGTGATCGAATTTAATCGATCACGTCAATCTTTCGACATTCTATTTAATGTTTAGATCAGCAGAAATAAGGAAGAAGCGGATAGCATTAGCTAGATATTATTAATAAGTTTTGATTATATATACGGCGTTTTATAAATTTCTAACCGATTTCAACTTTCTATATTTTTCTAGTAACTAAATTTGGATAGAGATTGAGGATATATACTTAAAAAGTAACTTTTGCATTATTCTCCAAAAGCTATTGAACTCAATTGTCATCATTAATAATAAAGTGCTTTATTAAAGAGCATCTGGAAATAACTTTCTCAGATCGTTTTATTCTTTTACATTGAATTTTTTATCTTCAACATACAACTACTGATATTCTAGCCTAGTTTAGTATTCAACTCTATATAATACATCTGCTGAAAGTATTTCAATATTTAATAAGTCTTTTTCAATAATAAATCTTTTTACTGATAATAGAGGTTTAGTGAATAAAACTTGGATA